ATATCTTGGATTATACCCATCGTGTCTCGATTGTCCTGTGTTCCACGGATACTCCTTCACGAGCTCCACGAGGTTAACCCAGCCATCATGATCATCGACGGAGTCCAGGTACCACACAGGGTTGTGTGGTTTTTCTGGCGCATGTCTGCATATCCTGCTGAGAGCTTTACTCAGCTGCTTGAGAGTGTGATTGGATCTAGGAAGGATGTTAGTTTGCCTGCATTTCTTCATGAACGCCTCATCCACCGAGCGTATTGGTGGGAGCTTCCGCAGAGCAAGTCTATCCCTGATCACACTCGGAGTCCCACTGGCGAAGGACGTGTCACCTGGGTGGCGCAGCTGACCCATGGGCGGGTTTCCCCGCATGGGAGCCTCTGTCGCTGAAGAGGCTGCGGCTCCTGAAGAGGAGGTAGCTGCAGCGGCAGCGCCTGGCGGGTTTCCCCGCGGTGTTTCGTGACTGGCGCTGCCCCTAATCGTCGGCACCCAGGTACCCCTAGACATAGCACCTTCGTCGGACCTTTTGGAACGAGCCGCCACAGGCGAGGCTGGCGCAGGGGCATACCCGGTGCGCTCGAAAGCTGCCGCCCTTTTAGCAATGGAGCTGCTACGACTGGGCGGGCGTCTCCGTTCCTCCACAGGGTCCTGAGGTTGCTGCTTGGGCTCAGACGCTTGCGCAGGAGTTGCGCCAATCGGCGGTCTCGGAGTTGCAGAGCGAGGCGCTTCCATCTGCACATCTGGCCCAGGATCCTGAGAGCGCGCCTTCGGTTTCACCTCCGAAGACGACTTCGGTGCCGGGGTTTCACTCTTAGCCTTCGAAAGTAGTGGGAGCGGGGGTTTCCTAGCCCCCTTCATGTAAATCTTGTTGGAATCCTCCAACATCTTGCGAATTGCCTCGCGTGCGCGTTCGTCTGCTATCCGCATACGTTCCTCATCCTCCGCCACACGTTGGGCCTTCTGTTCATCCTTGGATGTCAGTTCTGGTTGTTGGGACTGACGAGAAACGCCGGGCGAGTTTCCTCGCATACTAGGAAGACTAAGGAGCGCGTCTTTCTCTTCCTGGGTCATGGGCACCAGTCCTCCCCTTGGAACCGGGGTGGACTTCTCCTCTTCCTCTTTCGGATCCAAGTGGTCCAGGATCCCGAGACGACGATTCACTTCGGCGATCTCGTCCTGTGTCATCGGGATAAGTGGCGGATGGCCCTCTTTATGAGGGGTTTTGCCCCTGTTTGGGCTCAGACCTTCATTGTTTCCAACAGGGCATCCCGGCCCATGGTTCTGAAACGGCCGGGAACACGGTCCGCAAGCTGCTTGAGGCCTATACAGCTTACGAGCCGCGATGATGTTTCGCAGCTGTGTCCGCGCTTCTTCAATGTCAGGGCGGCGGACGTTTGTTGCAAGCTGATAGCCTCCGCGGATGGCTTTACCCTCAGCGTCCCTATAGGCAGGGTTGCCCTTGCCGAAGGCCGAGTGTTCCCCTTTTCGGCGTCTTGGGTCATTATGCGGAAGCAGCTGGCCCCCTCGCCTGAGAGCGTGTTCTTTCGGGCCAGCTTGCCTCCACTCACGAGGAAGCCGAGCCTGTGGGCGTGGCTCTCCTCTGACGCGCGCATGGGAACGGGACCTACCAGCGTTCTCATCAGAAGAGGCCGCCGAAGCAGCCTGAGTGGTAGCCGGCGGAGGCGCCTGCGGAGGCTCCTGTGCGATCCCAGGTGGATCGGCCAATAGAGGCAGGTTTCCCTGCTGGCTGGAGCTCGGCTCAAATGGCGCTTGTGCCGATGGTGATGGTGCTTCAGGCTCGTCAGGATCAAAGCCAACCTCTTCCTCACCATTGACTTCCATCATGAGGACTGTAACTTCATCCTCATCTAGCCCGCAACCATCGCCTTCTTCTTCTTCTGATGTAGAACTACCAATGATGATGGCCATTGGCGCAGCCGGGACAGGCAGGTTTCCCTGCGTAGCCGGCATCTGTGCGTCGCTCGGCTGTCCCGGGGTAGGCGGCACGGTTGTCGGTTCAGGCTCGTTGCCAAGCACAGGCTGCCCAGCAATGTTGCGCATGGCCGTATGGTTTGGCCACAGTCCCACCGCCTGGAGACCCCATCCTGGCGGAGGAAGATCATGACCGCGCATGGCGATAGCCATTTCCAGAGCATTGCGCCATCTACCGCGGGAGTATATCAGGTGTCTCTGCACGTCCTCAGGATGCGCGCTGTCAATGAGAGTCAGAGCTGCTAACAGCAACTCCGAGCTACCGCAGGCGTCGGTATCCTGCAGCATCATGATGTCAGCTTCGATGTTCTCTTGACTCTCGGGATAAGCGATGATAAGTATCTCATGCATCCTCATGAGGGTTTGCAGGAGAGTACGTGGTCCGTATTCGCCTGGAGCAAGCGAACCAGGGGGTACAAATGGGATCTCTGGTTCACCTGCAATGAAAGCTTGAACGAACGCCTGAGACTCCATATCTATTAGGTCTTCATTAGTTTGGGGATAGTCTCCCATCAAGGTAGGCCTGTTTCCAGGCGGGAGTTCAGGTGGAGGTTGGAGGTTGCGTTCAACCTCGGAAGGCGAGGCCTCCAAAGTGGTGTCCTCGTCACTGCTTTCGTAGGCCATGATGTTGCCTGGGTTCCCGAACATCCAGTCGAAGAAAGAAAGAGGCTGGTTTCCCAGCGCACCGTGATCCACGGGAGTGAGCTCGTTGTTGCCAATAACGAACCGGCGGACGTACTCGAGGTAGTACGCGTACAATCCATGACCATACGACTCGAGTTCGTCGACGTTGTCCATACAGCTGACCCCAGTGTGAAATATCTGTTCCATGGCCTCAAAATCCTGGAGGCTCAGATATTCGATGAATGGTTCACTTGAGCCAAAATGGACTTCGGTCGACCTGCCCTTTCCATTTCCCTTCGCTGGACAATCTCGCACAAGATGGTCGGTACTGTCGCATTCATGGCATTTAAGAACCTGGCCGTCTCTACCTCGCGGGTTTCCCCGCCTACCCTTGCCTTTTCCTGAGGTCTCTCCACGGCCCTTGCCACGGCCCTTTCCCCCAAAGAATATCTCATCATGTTGTTCATCTGAGAGCCTCTGGAGAAATGCCGTGATGCCTCGCCCGTTCAACCTCCGACGGCCTCGTTTACCTTTACCTTTTCCCTTAAAGCTCCTCCGTATCCTCCTCCTAACACGACGCACTGGTTTTCGTGTGAACCTCCTCCACCTCCGTTTGGCCTGTTGCAATAACCAGAACAAATGTTCAGCACGCTGATTGTCATTATCCATATTCATAATATCTGACCAATCTAAAGCTTCAACACCGTCTGATGATATAGTATCTGCGTCGGTGCCGGAGTCGAAATCCTCGTCTCCTAAGTAGGTGGATACACCGTCGGTTAGGGGATTTGATTCACCCCATAAGGAACGGTGTGGTTGCGGTTCTCTAGAAGGAGGGCTGGTTGCCCAGCTTGGTTGTGATCGATCTCCTGCTAGTAGAGCAGTGGATTATCCAGGATCATCGGCCCACATGCTTGAGGGCCCGTTCCCAGGCTGGGCTTCAGTAGTCAAGGTAGTGTAGAAATTTCCACTACCAGATCCCCTTCCCCTTCCAAGCACAGATCCTATATTACCAGGAGACCGTTCAGATAGGTGGCCTATCGAACGCATCCTCTCTAGCAACTCATCATACTGTTGTTGTGTTCGGGGCATTTGGTGATTGAGTGGCTGTAAGAGTTGCATGGCTCGCTGGTTGCCGACGCCTAAGGCGCGGAACAAGATCGCGGTTAGTAGTTGGAAGTTGGGAAGGTCAAATCCCACCGACTGCGCCTCAAGTCGGGCCATTTCGAATCGGGTAAGGGTGACATCGATTCGTTCCCCGTGAGGCACATGGAAGTCGATGAGTTGTGTGCCGGAAGTGAGCTGGCGCTCATCTTCCAGGCGTTCGAACTTCATGCTTACGAGGAACATGATGTAGGTCACTGGGTCGGTGTGGACCCCATCGATGTCAGCACCATAATTTATGATGTCAGGCGGTACCCTCATGGCGAGTGTCCTCGCTAGGCCACCTAGGCCGCGTTGTATGGCGGCCGCTTGGGCCTGTGGCGTCATACGTCCGCTTGTGACGTTGAGGCATGCGTTGACCTCATAAGCGTACTCGCGGAAAGGTACGTTGCCTTGAGGGTCCCAATATGGGCCATGTGTTTGCCCATCGGTGCTGTTGTCTCCACGACGCATGTGTCCGATTGCTGCCCCCAGCGCGAACCATATGATAGCGAAGATAACCAGCCCAAGGCTGTGTAGATAAGGGCGGTTATTAGGCGCGTTGCCGCGCTGGGGTAGCGCCTTGTCGAGTCTTCGAGGCGCTCTATCTGGCGGATCTCTCCGCCCATGCTTCAGGTATTGCGCTTTTGGCTCGTTGCCGAGCGGTTGGTAATAGCGCAATGATGAAGCGTATATGGTACCGATATCATTGTCTAGACGTCGTACCTCTCGTGTCGCTTCTTGCTCTTGGATAGATCCTCGTAAACGTACTGGGAGTGATAGCGCAGGGTGGTAGGTGGTCACGAAGATCGTGCCGAAGAGTATGAGGCTAAGAAGAGCAAGAGCTGACCACACGAGAGTGCGGCCAGCTCCGCTACCAAGTCGAAAGTGAGCCTGGTAACTCAAATAACATCCGATTCCGTAGACATCGGATGGCAAATAGCGTCCGGTATCGTACTGACGTGGTTCAGTAAGAGGAATGGACGGATAAGATAGGATAAGATCCATGTATCGGTCTTTCCAGCACATAGCGAACACTCGCGGTGTCCGGGCAAATAGGGCGCGCGTGCCTTGAGCCAAAGGCAACGGCGCGCGAGCTATGCTCCCGATACTGTAACATCTCCCAAAGAGCTACCCTTAAAGTTCCTCCTCCTCCTCCTCCTCCTCCTCCTCCTCCCTGCACCTCCCTGCTCCTCCCTGCTCCTCCCTGCACCTCCCTCCTCCCCGGCCGCCCGGCCCGGCCGGGCTCCGTGCTGGCCCTCAGGCCCGCCAGCTCGCCCAGGAAGAGCTCCCCCAGCTCCTGCGGGGGGGGCTCACGGTGCGCCGCGCGCCAGGCGTGGTCCCCCAGGCCTCGGCCACCTCGAGGCGACGACGACGACGACGACGACGACGACGACGACGACGACGACGACGACGACGACGAAAACGGCGACGAAGACGAAGATGGCAACGACAGAGACAAAGTCGAACCCGCCAGCGGCGGCGACGCCGAGGACAGACCTCCGTCTCCCCACTCTCTTCGTCCTGCGCCCTCTCTCCAGCTGGCCCTCCCCTCCCGTGTGTGAGAGCCCGCGCAATGGGGGGGGAGGGAGAGAGGAGGGAAAAGATGATGGGGCCCAGGGACACACAAATAGATAAACACAGGCCCCCGGCCGGATTCCCAATCTTGTTCCATATGTTCTGGACTTTCGTCTCCCCATCCGCTTCCCATACTTCCCATGATTTCCTCGGGTCGGCATGTGTTTGTGTCTGTGTCTTTCTGTCTCCCTTGAAAGGCAGAGGGTCGGAAAACGCTCTCGTGCTAGAAAACTGCGGCTGCCCAAGCTACCTGGGGGGGGGCACCAGCCAAGAGAGAGCCTGGCCTCTTCGCCCTGGGCAGCTCCACACGTGCCTCTGCGCACCGCTGGCCTGCGCGCCTTCGCGCACGGGCCCGCGAGGGCCGGAAGCGCACGCCTGCACGCGCCGCAGGCCCAGGATGCGGCCCCTGGACGTCACAGACTGAACGGGCGAAGAACGGTATAAAATAAACTTTTTCGCCGTCGGGGACACCTGCCCCTGGGCGGCTGGAAAGTTTATACCCTTACGGTGGCACCGTAGGGGTATAAACTTTCCAGCCGCCCAGGGGCAGGTGTCCCCGACGGCGAAAAAGTTTATGTTATACCGTTATTCGCCTGTTAACAGACCACCCGACAAGGGAGCAAGGCCCTGACAGTGCCGCAGCAGCCTGCGGGCACCTGCGAGCACCGGCAGGGCGCCTCGCGTCCCCAGCACAGCCGCTCACGACGAGCACAGGTGCAGGCCGAAAGAGAGTCACGGTGCGCCGCGGCCTGCCAATGCCACGACAGCCTGCGAGCGCCACGCGCGTGCCAGCCCAACGGCTTGCTGGGCCCTGCGGATCACACAGTCAACTGCGGAAGCCACCTACAGTCGGGGGCTTGACCTAAGGAACCCAAAATAAGGAACGAGGCCCCTTTTTTCCATGAGTTAAACTTCGATTTCCGATCGAAAACATAGGGAAAACCTGAGGCAAGCTGCGAAACACTTAAGGAACGCGAAGCCCCTCCCCAACGAAAAGGGTTCCTTCTTCAGGGCCCCAACTGTATGCCTGCGAGCACCAGCGGTGCGCCTGTAGTCATCACAGCCGCCCGCGGACGCCAAAAGTCAGCAACACAAAAGCCTGCGGACATCACGCGTAGGCAAGAATACGCCAGGTCGTCCAAGCACCACGATAGAGTGAGGGCGCCGCAGTACGCACGCCAGCACCGACGACGTCTCTGTGACCACCACACAAGCGTTCGAGAACCACTGCGTGTCTGACAGTGGTTCGACCACGAGAGGGGCTCATCGTGCCATCTTGTGTACTGCGACCTTCACGGATTCGTCGTGGGCATCACTCGCTAGCTGGAGAAGGCGACGTGCTACGAGGAGACCTGCGCCGAGTTCACGCGGTGCTCCGAGGGCGTGTGGAAGGGCACTCAATCGCCCGATCAGCAATTTTCGAGATGTGCCCCAGCTCACTCAAGAGGATGAAGCTCATACATCTGCGCGGATATTCGGCAGCAGGCCGAGAATTGTACGAAGGGCAGCGCCAACGTGGTCGTCAAGGATGCCGCTTGAAAGCGGGAGAGGTCGGCAAGCTATGACGATTATTCGCGCCGAGTGCATGCGGTTCACCCTGTGTGACACGCAGCGCGTCCAGGGTCACCGCGTCCAGGCCCGAATGTCCTGCTACCTCGCGCCGCATTTCATCGCCAACAAATTGAACCCCGAGGACGGCATCGCGCTCCACTTCACCTCCCTGAGCAACACGAGAAGGAATCGTGCCATCTCGTGAGCTGCACCCTCGACGGTCTCGTCGTGGGCATCATCGTCAGCAGGATACGGCGACGAGCGATAAGGAGACCTGCGCAGCGTTCAAGTGGCGCGTCAAGGATGTCTTGAAGGGCTTCCTGGGCCACTGCGATTTGCCCATTCCCCTTCGAACGTCGATGCGCGCCCCAGGCCCCAGACCAGCGACTCCAAAAACAGCCTCAGGCTGGACAGCGTGTTCGCGACGTCGTTATCGGAGCGGCCTCGCGTGGGCCCCTGGCGCCGCAACTCGCCACCATCATCGAAGAGTGCTCATTTCCTGCACCTTCCGCTCTGCTCCCTCCTCCTCTCCTGCCTCCGCATTTCGCATCCGTCCTCACCCCATCCCTCAATCCCTCCTCATCCTCCTCCTCTCATCATCATCAGATGCGATCATCATGAACCATCATCATACACCATCATCATCATCATCATCATCATCATCATCATCATCATCATCATCATCATCATCATCATCATCATCATCATCATCATCATCAGCATCAGCATCAGCATCAGCATCAGCATCATCATCATCACCATCACCATCATCATCGTCATCACCATCATCATCAGCATCAGCATCATCATCATCATCATCATCATCATCTTCATCATTATCATCATCCTCATCAGCATCATCATCACTGTCGCCATCACCACCATCATCATCAGCAGCAGCATCATCATCCATCATCATCATCAGCAGCATCATCATCATCGCCATCACCACCATCATCGTCAGCAGCATCATCATCATCATCAGCATCATCGTCATCGTCATCATCGTCATGGTCATCGTCGGCGTCATCATCAGCATACTCATCGTCATCAGCATCACCCTCAACTTCTCAATATTCTGCATCGTCATCATCATCATCATCATCAGCGTCATGATCCTCAGCATCACCGTCATCAACCTCGTCCATAGAATCAGCATCATCATTATCGTCATCATCAACGACAACAAAGTTCTCATCCTTTCTCGTCATACTCACATTTCAAATAATTTCAGACAGCCCTCCACCAGTCACTCCATTCTCCATTAACCCATCCATCGATCCATCCTCAATCACCGCCCTCCTCATTCACTCCATCCCTTACGTATTCCCCCTCTCACCCACTCCCCCTCCGCATCCCTCCCCCCATCCTCCCCGCTACCCATCCCTCCAACAATCTCCCTCATTCATCCCTCCATCTCCCCCATCCTTCCTTCCCTCTCCCCCTAATTCCCCCTCCCCCCCTCACCCCACTCGAGGCGAACCAGGAGGTCGAGAAGTCCGACACCACGACAAAAAGAAGACGATCACGATCACGACCACCACCACGGCCACGACGATCACCACCACCAAAACGACGCCGACGACGCCGCTGCTACTGCCGCCACCGCCACCGACGACGACGGCGACCGCAACGACGACGGCAACAACGGCGGCAGCGGCGTCGACGACGAGTGGAGGATTCGGAAGAATCCGAAATCTCCCGAGGCCCCTAGAGACCCCCTGACTCCGCTGGAGGCCCCGAGAGGCCTCCGAAGTCCCAGCAGTGACGAACACATCCAGAGAGCTCGAGCCCCAGACGTCGATCCTCCCTCCCTCGAGGCCCTGCTCCTGGACCAGACCCAGACGACGACGACGACGACGACCACGACGACGACGGTGACGACGTCGACGACGACGAAGGCGACGACGTCAACGAAGGTGACGACGACGTCGATGACGACGACGACGACGAAGACGCGACGACGACGACGACGACGACGACGACGACGACGACGACGACGACGACGACGACGACGATCGCGGCGGCGGCGGCGAGCGGCGGAATAGGCAGCCAGCAGCGGCCTGGGAGCAGCGGAGGGCGAGCGGTGGGCGGCGGGCGGCGGGCGGCGAGTGGCGGGCGGTGGGGGCGTCCTGCAGGCCGGTGGCGTGCTCCTTCTCCATGTCGCCTACCCGGAGCACCAGCGCCTCCATGTCGCCGCCCTTGGGGGGGGGGGCGGGGGGGGGGGGTCGAGACTCCGACGTTCGAGCGTCGAGGCATCGGCGTTCGAGGTTGGAGCAGAGTGACCTTCTGTCTGGTCAAAGAGACCCCCATCCGTGACCGAGAGGGGGGCGGTGTGGCGAAACGGTGCAGCAGGAGCGGCCCCCCCCCTCTCTGTCGCATGGCTGACTCCAGAAACCCTGATCCCCCAGACTGTTGACACCTGCCTTCTACTCCTCCCCCTCCTCCTCCTCCTTCTCCTCCTCCTCCTCCTCCTCCTCCTCCTCCTCCTCCTCATCATCATCATCATCATCATCATCATCTATTCACCCTCACTCGCGTTGATTAGCAGAGGGAGGGAAGGAAGGGAGACGCACCGTTTTGGCGACGACCGCGAGCACAGCCGCAGGCTCTCCGCCCGCCCATTCCTCGATGGGCGGGAACAGTTAAAGTTGAGGGGTGGGTGGTGGAAAAGGCACAAGCTAGCTGAAACAGCTGCGGGAGGGAAGGAAGAGGAGGAAGACAGGGGAGCAGCCGTTGCACTGCCGTGGGTGAATACCCCTGTTTAAGCAAGCCTAAACAAAACACTATTCACCCTCACTCGCGTTGATTAGCAGAGGGAAGGAAGGAAGGGAGACGCGCCGTTTTGGCGACGACCGCGAGCACAGCCGCAGGCTCTCCGCCCACGCTGGCCCGGGGTCCCGCACCGCGGCGCCTCCGACCCTCCTTGAAACTGGGACGGGCCCAGCTCCATCCTCCTTAAACGACGGGTGGGCCCTAGTGGTCCGCCCAAGGTGGTGTCCTGAAACTGTAGACCCCGGCACGCCCCGGGAACGGCCCTGCTAGGCAGAGCAGGGCAAAATCCAACCAGGCGCCGCGCGCCAGGGCGCGCGGGAAAACGCGCGCGGGGAAGCAGGGGCGCCACCGCCGACCCTCCGGTGGGCAAACTGCTCACAGGCAGGGGGCGGGGCCCCACGAGTCGATTGAACAAATGACCGCGGGCCAGCTCCACCGCCGAGCTCCACCTAGGGGGAGCTCCACTCCAGGCGCACCGGGGCATGTCCGCGCAGTGCGCCGCGAGGGGCGGGGAGGGGAGAGTGACCGGGGCCGAGCGGGGGCCGCCCTGCCCGCATCCTGCACAGCCGCTTAACACGTTCATGACTCGGCGGCTGGCGTGCGTGCAGGGGGGCCCAAAAACGCGGAGCCACCCCCCAGAGGGAGGAGGGTCCGTGGTGAATTAAAGGAGAGGGCCACCCGCCTCCCGGACGCCCGCACAAGGCCGGGTCCGGCTCAGTCCGTCTCCTCCAGCTGCAGTATCGCCTCCGCCGGGGGCTCCGGGGTCGCCTCCCGTGCACGGCTGGCAGGGCCCCCCCCCTTGTCCCGTGCGGCGGTCTCCCCAGCCTCGCGGGGGGGACGGGGCATCCCGCCCTGGGCTGGTCTCGGGGCTTCTGCCTCCGGCCGGGTCACTTCCAGGCTCCTCCGCATGGCTGCCTCCCTCGTCTCCTGCAACTTCTCCATGACCTCGGGGATCCTGTACTCCCTCACGGTGGACGGGTTGGTATTGGTCTGAACACCTACCCCGAACGTGTCCTTCAGGTACTCCGCCGCGATCGGCCCGTTGGTCGGGCCCAGTCCCGCCTGGGCCATGCGGCTGAAGTCACCCGGGCGGAACAGGCGCTCTCCACCGGGGGAGGAGGAGGCCCCCTCCCTCTGCTCGTCGACGAGGATCTCCACCAGGACCTGCAGGACGTGGCGGAAGCCGCCACCCCTCGGGGCGTGCCGCCACGCGTCCGACCAGAATAGCTCCCGGGTCTCGAAGGTGCCATCCTCCTCGTGGCCCCTCTCCGACCAGTGGCTCTGGCGCGGCTGGAAGCGCCTCCACCCGGGGCCGGAGGGCTTCCTCCCCCCGGCACGCTGCGCCCGAGGCGCTCCCCGTCCGCGCCACCGGCCGGGCCGTCGGGTGCCTCTTCTGCTTCCCTCGCGGCCTTCTCCCTCTCAGAAGCCTCCAGGGCGATCTGGAGCTGGAGCTCCTCCACCGCGTCGGAGGCGGGATCCTCCGGAGCCTGCGGCGGGGCCTGCTCCTCGGCCGGCGCCGCCGGCTCCGCCTCCCGGGGCCCCTGCTCCTCGGCCGGGATTGCCGGCTCGGGCTCCGGGGGCCCTTCCTCCGGCAGCTGGAAGTGCGGGTGCCTGGACTGGGCGCCCTCCGGGGGCTCGGGTGATTCGGCCGGCCCCTCCAGCCTGGACCCGTCCTCCGCCGCGCCCTGAGCCGGGCTGGCGGCCCCGACAGGGTCGGCCTCGCCCTTCGAGTCCGCCCCCCCTCCCGGCTCCGCGCCCCCGCCTCCCCGCCCCTCCTCAGCGGGTGCGTCCTGAGGCGGCTCCGCGCCCTGATCTGGGAGGGGTCTCCCGCCCCCGCTCTCCGCGTCAGCGGGGTGCCCCCCCGCGGCCCCGTCCGCCTCCCCGCCGGCGACGGGCTCCGCGGTCTTCCGAAGCGGCGGGGGGGGAGGCGTCCCGTTCGGAGGTTTTGCTCACCCCGGTGCGCCCTGCAGAGGTGCTGGGGGACTGGGCCCTGGACCAGGTGCATCAGCCTGTAGACCTCCCGCGCCTCCACGAAGAACAGCAGCATGCGCTTCGGGTGGTAGTAGACCGTCTCCGCGCCTCCCTCCTCCAAGCGGAGCGGGAGGGCGCGGTGGGTGTCCAGGCTCCGCGGGCACCCATCAAACTGGATCCACTCATCCCCCCCGGCCCGAACGGTGGAGTCCAGCCACGCCGCCAGCTCCGGGGGAAAGTGGCCTATCCTGCAGGACCTCGGGCTTCCACAGCTCCACCCAGCTTGCGGGGATGGGCGCCCTGATAGTGTAGCCGCCCGTCGGCAGCATGGGGGTGCGCACCCAGTCCGCCGCCATCCCTTCCGGGATCCAGCTGGCCACCCAGTCGTAAGGGTCCTCGTCGGGGCCCTCCTCATACGCTCCTCTTGCGCCCCCGCCCGACTCCCCCGACTCGCCCTGGGCTTCTCCCTGCGCCGGTCCGGCGAGGCCGGGGACGACCGGCGAGCTCCCGAGGCCTGCGGGTGCCGGGGGTGGCTCCTCCGGGGGAGGCTCTTCCGCCTCCCGCGCGGGGTCGGGGCCCCCCTCCGCCCGTAGCTGCACCGGGACCCCCTCGGGTCCCAGGGCCGCACAGAGGGCCCCCTCATGATCTCCCTCCTCGAGTAGCTTCTTCGCGGCCTCGGGCCTGTGGGTGAGCTCCGGGGGCCCGACCCCGGAGGCGAACGCGAGGGCGCGCCGCGACTCCGTGAGGAACGCCAGGTGAACCTCGGAGTACGACTCCTCCAGGGAGGCCACGAGGTCTTCGCGTGTGCAGCCCCGGGCGTCCCGGTCACCGGGCGTGTCGAGGACGCCCATGAGGCGCTCCCGGAGGAGCCGGTGACGCTCCTCGGCGCGCTGGGGGCCCGCTATCCTCTGGAGCGTGTTCCGGAGGCTGGGCCGGGCGACGAATGGGTCGGCGCCTGCCGCTCCCCCCGCCGCCCCGGATGCGGGCACGGACGCGCCCGGGCTCGCTCCACTTCCTCCGCCTGCTCCAGGGCCATCCGGATCATGCGCTGGTCGCTGGCGACGGGGAAGCGCAGCCTCCGGAGGAGGTCGTCTACCGACACCAGGACGTACTCCCTGCCCAGCGTGTCCCTCCACTGCCGCAGGTTCCCTTGCACCGAATGGTAGTGGTAGTAGTAGGCTCTGTCCTGGGTGGAGTGGAGCCGCCGGGCGCAGGGGTAAGCAGCCCCAGGGGTCTCCTCCGCAGGGTGCCGCGGGCATTCCCAGGCGCGGGGGACGGTGTTGCAGTTCGTGGACGGGGCGAGGGCGACCCCGAGCTGCTCGTCCAGGGCCCTCCAAGCGGTAACCACGGCCGACGTCTCCCCGCACCGCTCGCTCCCGTGCACCAGGGAGTGGGACCCATCCGAGCGGCGTTCCACCAGGGCCAAGACCGAGGAAGGCGGGCCCCGCATGGTCGCGATCGCGCACGCGGTCCGAGGTGGAGGGGGCTCCGCCGGGGGCGGGGGGGCGCCTTGGGCCCCGGCGCCCGCTGCGGGCGCCGTGCCCCCCCCTCCGCTGCCCGGCGCGGGCGCCCCGGCTGCCGGGAACGCTGGGGCGGCCTTGCGCGGCGCAGCTGAGCCCCCCGCCCCGGCTGCCAGGAACGCTGGGGCGGCGTTGCGCGGCGCAGCTGAGCCCCCCGCGCCCTGGGCTGGCGCGCCGCCCCCTGCTGTCGCCCCGTGGCCCCCCTCCTTTGGGGGCGGGGGGCCCGCCGGTGGGGGGGCACCCCCGGGCCCGCTGGGCGCCCCTCTCCCCGGAGCACCTGTTGCCGGGCCTCCCCCCCCCTTTCCTCCCCCGCCGGGGGCCTGGGATGGTGGGGGAGGCCTGTAGCGCACGCTGCAGTCTGGCACCGTCGTGCGCGCATCCGCTTCCGGGGGCCCCTCTCCGCGCGGCGGCGGCGGGGGGAGGTACCTTGAGACTCCAAGGTCGATCTATAGTGCGGGGTCGAACTATAGATCGACCTGGCACTTTCCTTGGGTCGCACTATAGTCCAACCCATGATTTTTGGCCAGGTCGTACTTTTCTTCGCTCGCGCACTGTTAAGGATCCCCTGAGTGAGGGGGCATGCGTCCCCTGAGCGAGGGGTATCGGCTGCATCACATTGCGCGCATGTTACAACATCCCGCAGCTGCGAAGGCTCGAGGGCACATAGCGCTACTCTTGCTTGCGCGCACTGCGCGGGGGGTGGGCAATGGTCAAGGGCAAGACGGAGGTGAAGATACGGGCTTCTTCTGTGACTGAGGAACAGTTGAAGCCGCTCGTGAAACAGCACATTGATCTCATCGAAAAATGCCAACTGCAAGGGGGCATAGATGACTTCATGAAGAACAACATGCCGTTTCTCTTGCCGCTTGCGCAGCTCACCACACGCGTCAAATGGAAGAACCTCCAGGACGTCGTGTTGAAGCAGAAGCCGAACATG